ATAAATTTCGACTGTCCTCAAGACCAGTGTGATTGCGAGCTATCATGCCAAGTATTTTAGAGATAGTAATCTCTGTCAGCGGCAAGAAGAGGGACACTATCTCTTTGCATTGTGTAGCATTGACTGTGCATCCATAACCCAGTTCCTTCATAATATCTCCCATGCTCATTTCCTTCTCCATTTCGGCTAAGATGGAATCAAAATCATTATCACGGGACTCATGTGACAGATTTACATTCCTGCAATGGACAGAAAAAGTTAAGTAAATAATAATATTACAAAACGCGCAGGTCCCACCAAAATTCACCAGAAATCGAAAAGCCAAGGTCTCATACATAAAATCTTCATATTTAAGAGATTCTTCGGCACCTTAAAATTTTCTCCTCTCGCAATTCATCTGAAAGCAGCGGTGACAAAACAAACTCTGTAGCATCTTTTAACTGCACCAAAGATAGCATCTGCATGAAGGAATCTAAATGCTTTGAGAGCCCTTCAGACCGTTGGAGGAACATGATAATATCCTGAATTTGCTGAGTGGAATCCATAGATACAGCATTAGCACAAAGTTCCTCAATCTGAGTAATGCAGAAGTTATTACCTGAAAAAAATAAAATAAATAAAAAAGCACAACCTATGAAGTCCCCGCAAGAAAAACAAACATAATACTTTCTAACTAGCTACACGAGTCTATTTCCGTTGATGAGGTAAACTCAAATTGTTAAAGCAAAATCAAGCTGGGCCCTATGTTAATATTTATCAAAACATAGCTACAAGCTCCATATTAATAAATAAATAAATAAATAAATAAAGGAAAGATGGCAGGAATAAAGATTAGGGAGTTCCCTGTATAGATCTTGCTCTGTCATGAAATAGAAGTAGTTGATAGCAAATTAACAACCAGAAATCGTCAATAATTAATGGTAACTTCTAGAACTTACCACACGTCCTTGTATCGAGATTTTCAGAATCTGAAACAGCGAGACCAACTCCAATTCTTTCACACATTGACAAGTTTAACAGATTCGAGATGTTCTCGAGAATAACTTGGTTGATATCTCTAGTTTTAAGGGACTCGCAAAATATTGTACTAAAATTGGGTCTGTCCAAGAGATGCTTGAAAACAGAAGAAACTACTAGTCGCAACAGCGGGTTGTCCAAATCTGTCCCATGACTAGTGAAATGATCCAAACAAGTTCTGAGCAGTATGAAGCTTCCTTCAACTCCACAGTCAATAAACTGAAGCACATTTAAGACATTAATTCAGTCAAATGCTTAAAATATATCTCAATGTAAAAGATCAGCGCAATGGTTAAGTGTAATGCTTAATCGCAGAGGCGATTACTTCACGTGCTGCTATTTGGAAAGGGTATCCAATAGAACCCTGCTTCCTAATTCTTCTATTTCGGGGTTGTAAACATAACTTTCATGAAGAAAAAAGAAAGACAGAACGACACAAATAAACAGAGGCACATATATAGAAGCTTTTCAAGTAAACACCTTAAACTGTTTTACAAGAATGCCGGGAGATCAAAATGAGAAACGTAGTGGAAAAGGAGAATTGATTAAAAAGGAAATGCGTGAAACTAGTGGGAAATATAAATCTAAATCTAGGACACCAATCGCATCACACGAAATGAAATAATTTTATGAGCAGAGCAGAGCTCAAATGATAGTTGGCAAGTATGACCGGAAAAGGCAAGGAAGGGGAGGCGACGTAAAAGGCCAGATGATACCTCGCAGAGCTCGTTGAGAATGGATTCAGCATTAGATTCAGTCAAGCTGTGGAGGAGGAAGCGAATCTGAGACGACGTCGTAGTCGAAAACATCAGCATGGCTACCCAAATCGGGAAGCTAGGGTTTTCCACCACAGAAGCTGAGGCTCGGCAGGCTGAGTAAGTGCAAGGAAGAAGAAGAATGAAAGGAAGGTTGAAGAAGCGGTTCGCAGAGAGATTGCGGGAACGGGAACAGGGAGGTTTGGAGAGAGAAAAAAGGCGAGATGATGGTGAGCACGAGAGACCAAATTTATGGGGCACAATCCTATTTATATTCTCTCCTAATTGGAACTCAACTGGAGGTGGAACTCAACTTTGAGACACTATGGTCTGGTCCGGTCTAATGGGCCTCGTCCAAACCAAACATGTACAAACGTGGCTCATTCAAAAAAGAATAATAAAAAAAAGATCTGTACTGAGAACCTTAGTTTTGTTTTTTATTTTTATTTATTTTAGTTTATTAAGTTATTGAATTTAAAAAATAATAATAATTTTAATCTCTTTAAAAATAAAAATAAAACTTTTACTCATAAAAATAAAAAATTCTAATATTTTTAAATAAATTTAACCCGAAGTTACTATGGATGTGGTGAAAAATTGAAGTCAAATAAAAAATGAGGCAGCTAGTATTTTGTTTTATTTATGAGAAGTCATTCAGAATTTTGAATAAATTTTTGTTGTAATAAATGTAATAAAAAAAAAAAAACAAGTGTGTAAATTAACCGACATGAATTCAATCCAACACATCAGTTAGTTGACAGTAGATGAGGACAAGTTCGGTGCTTATTAAATACAAATGAAGGAGAGAATCTGAAAAGTAGAGAAATAAGTCATTCCGCGTGTACGTCGTTACATAATATATTTATATATACACCTGAAATGAGGAAAACAATAATAAATATAAAGGAAGTGAAGCAGCTGAGGCTGTCAAAGAAAATGAGAGGTTCACACGCCCACTCCATTCCCATATATATATACATACAATTCCCCTGTAACCCCCAGGCCATGGATTTGAATAGCTCCCTCTGTTGCCTGTGTGGCGACGTCGGTTTTCCAGCCAACCTCTTCCGCTGCGCCAATTGCTCCAACCGCTTCCAGCACTCGTAAGGACACTCAAGCTCTTCTTTTCTTTCTCCCCCTTTTCGTACCAACTTCAATTTTGGTAGTTCAGTTATTGCAGTAACTTCTACTGCGGGGAATCGGCCGACCCAATAACTCGACTCTGCGATTGGTGCCGAACCGAACACACAACGCGCCGCCCTGGCCCTGCAGCTGCGAACAATGGCGCCACATCCCAAAAGCCTCACAAAATCACTGATCAAAGTACTGAAACAAAAAGCTCTGCCACTGGAGTGCCCCCGCCTCGCCCTGCTCCACGCCGCTACAAGCTTCTCAAGGATGTCATGTGTTGAATCCATTAACTTGGTCTTAAAATAAACTAAAGATTGTAAACCTTAAATAGTAATTTCAAATTTGAAATCATGTTTAATGCACTAAATTGTATCTATAGCTGTATGCAATTTCAAGTGAGCATATGCATGTAACTGCAACTCTGTTGGTTTACGGTTATAACATCTCTCCGACTTGAAACCAGGTGTTGGTCGGAATCAGACGATGGGCCCATTTCGAAAACGTCTTACGAAATCCCTACGTCAGCACCCACGCCGTTTTTCGAAAACGTCCGTGCAACGCGTCGATAGGGGTGTTTTAGGGAAAATGCAACATTTTAGTGGGCCGCTGTATTCGACCCATATTACATACTAATTTGGGCTGTCGCACCTTGAGTCCGTTTGAGAGCCTTGAAAATGATGAATACCTGGAAAATCCTTCAAAATAATAATTTGACGACAAATGATTAAAAATACATATTGGATACACAAAAGTGAATGTCACTCCATAACACCAGGCCATTTGAATAAGGCCGAGCAATCAAGTGAAATAAAAGCTTCCCGACAAGAATGGGGTCAGACTTTGTTTAAACAGCGATCATTCATTTCCTCATTGTCTATTATAATCAAAATAGTTGCTTATATTCTCAAACGCTCTATCCCGTTAGATATCCCCTATAATGCTAAGAGTCGGTATTCTTCCCCACCTTTATGAAAACTGGTATGATTGGAGAGGAAATAAATGGGGAGGAGAGAGAAGCAAATAATTGAGAAGAGAGAGAGAATAGAGTAAATAGATTGGCAGAGAATCAGGGCCCATCTCCTTCCTTTCTTTTTTACGACTTCACCCATCACAGACCAAGGCCCCATCTTGACTCAGCTTGATGGAACCTCTTTTCCCTTCTTCCGGTTTCCCTTCTTTCCTAACTCCTCCTGTTTTATAACAAAATAATTATAAAATAAAAAACACGAGTGGGTCCCACCAGATGCTTATTTATTCATATTTATTCATTGTTGATGGATTAGAACAGGGTTTGGGAATTCCAAATGTTTCATTAAAAGAAACAATCCAATAATCTCATCATGCTCCAATCTGTGTTTTCGAGTACATTGGCAGTTTTTTCCTTTCTTTTTTTATCCCAAACCCAACCATGATAGTAATAATAAATAAATAATAAGTACACGTGTCAAGCACCCACTTAACTGCCTCCCCATTTTACATTTTTTCTTTTTTTATTTTTGTTATGCAAATCGGATTGGAGAGATGTTTGGACATGTACTCCCAAGATACATCTGCCTTCGCTGCTTTCCCCGCCGTACACGTGGCAGAATCCTATCAGACTTCCTGTCTCGTCCTTGGACCCCATCCTCCATCCATTTTTAAAACCGTTCTTCTTTAAAAATAACATTTATTATTTATTATTAATCGGGGAGAGGGGGCTTCAAAGAGAATGGTGAAGAGTGGTCGCAATCAGCCACTGTGGGTCAATCTTTGCTGTTTTTGGGAAGATCTTGAGGTGGACCCCACATATAACACGTGTATGGCCTACCCCTTCCCCTTCCTTTCTCTCTCCACTCGCACTCTTCAGTCTCTCACCTCGCATTTAATCAACTTATTTCCATTCTACTATTTACAACCCTTCTCCTCTCTTAATTTAACTCAGAGAAGAATTTCTCCGTTTGAGCGAAGAAAAGTTAGCTAACAACAAAGGATGGTCCAATTTAACTATGGTCACGTGCATACCCACAACATCCCACGCAGTGTTACTCCTTGAAGGATTATTTAGAAGAATATCCAAAAATATAATTTAACTTTGGGCGCAGAGACAACCACGGTGTCTGGAGGTCTCTGTGCGTGATTGTAGAGAGGTACGCCATTTCTTACCACTTTCCTCCTCTCTCCTCCTCTCCTCTCTCCCCTACTACTCAGAGACTGCAATTCTGCAGCCTTTCTTCCACTCACTTTAACCCCCATTGGGGTTTTACAATTATATCAGAGGAGACTCTTCACTGCCTCACTCTTTCTCTCTCTCTGACTCTGTTTTCCCCGACATCAACCTCTTCCTTCCCTCTTTTGGTATAAATTCCCCCAACCCCGTCTCCCTCTCTTCCTTCTCTCACCAACCCACCAATCCTTGCCTCCTCTCCCCTCTTTTCCTTCTCTACCCCTTCCACTTCTGCACCCACTCCTAAAATGGAGATGGAGATCTGCGCCAACTTGATGGGACACTCCAATCCCACCAGAGACCAAACTCCCAACGCCACTAATCTTTCTTGCCCCAATAACATCTGGGACTTCAATTCCTCCCGCTTCGACTTGGATTGGGCCACTGCCAACTCTCTCTGCCCCGACACCACCCGATCCCAACCCATGTCCGCCCACGCCCTCTGGCTCCACCCACATGACGCGGACGCCCGCCACCACCAGTTTCTCTACGCTGCCGATCACCAGCGCGCCCATTTCCACCCAGACCCCCACCTCATGTGTTTGAAGCTCGGCAAGAGGCACTACTTCGAGGACGCCACTGCGCCGTCCGTCGTGGGAGGCTTCGCCACTGTGGGGAAGAGAGGGAAGGGTTTATACGGTGGAGATGGAGGGCCTTATGGCCCAGTTCCGACGACCGTACCCCGGTGCCAAGTGGAGGGATGCCATGTGGCGCTGGTGAACGCGAAGGACTACCACCGTAGGCATAGAGTGTGCGAGATGCACTCGAAGGCTCCAAAAGTTGTGGTTGTAGGCTTAGAGCAGAGGTTCTGTCAGCAGTGTAGCAGGTGGAGCACTTCAAAAGACACTAACTTTGAGATTAAATTATGTGTAGAAGATAATAGGAAAATGAAAAGAAAAATAAAAAACTAGAATTGGGTTGTTGTGTAGGTTCCATGTGATTTCAGAGTTTGACGACTCAAAGAGGAGCTGTAGGAGGAGACTGGCAGGGCACAACGAGAGAAGAAGAAAGAGTTCTCATGAATCTGTGGCGGCAAGGAACTGCACCCAAGGTACCAAATTCCCCTATCAATCTGTTGGGTACTCAACAAAGCCATTCTTATCCCAATTATTATATTTTTGGAATAAAGGAGAGAAGAAGAAACACCATTTTTAGTTTCCTTCTGATTCTCAACCCCCAAATATGGTTTAAGAGTGACAAAAAAGTTTTACAAAGTCGGTAATCCCATCATTTATAGAATTTGTGTTTATAATCTTAATTTTAAAAACAAAATAAAGTGAGAACATTTTCCAAAAATTAAAAACCAAAAATCAAAGAATAATCAAATTATAACTTATTTTTAAATTTTGGAGTATAATTCCGATTAAACGAGTATCTTGGGAATCGAATTGATTTTGCCCTAACATTTGGGGGGAATTGCAGAAAACAAGTCTATGACAGGTAACATTGCATACATACCATCGCCGACGGGACGTGCTCTCTCTCTTCTGTCATCGAAGAAAGAAACATGGGCGACCACATCGGAGCTGTCGCTGAGGTCGAGTGCAGCACTCCGAGAATTGATAGCGGAGAATCGCGCCGCCATTCTCGCTCGTCAGCTGATTCTGGACCGAGATTGGCACTTGAACCACGCGGCGACGACGGATGATTTCGGAGGAGGCGGCGTTGGATTCCATCAGCAGCAGGGGTTGTATTGCGAGCAGCAGCAACAACAGAGCTGGGAGGGGATGAATGAAAATGGCGGTGCGCACGTGACGCTGGACCTGATGCAGGCGCCTAGCACCGCGTTTGGGATGCTGTCCGTGAGAGGGAAATCGAAGGAAGAGGAGGAGGAATGTTGCGAGTTATGGAACTCCTTTCACGATCACGATTCGCACGTTGTTTAAAAGTATATTATAATTGTAGATGTATGTGTAGTCCTCGTAAGTGGAACCATGAACATTTGGAAACTGTACAATTCTTTGTTTTCCCGCCCATTTTCTTCCCTTTATTTTAATTTTATCGTAGAGCTCAGCAACTGTAGAGTACCCTTCATTTTTAAAATGGCTATTAGTGGTGTTTTACTTACTCAACTATGTTTCAATAGATTGAAGCTTTCATTTTTACTATTAAATTTTACATTTCTATTGGATCATTAGATGTGTTTACCTTAAGACTATATAAGATTAGATGCACATTTTTGTAAATTTGCCTCTTATACTACATACTAACTTTCATTAAAAAGAACCACAAACCAAATCCAGAGAGGCAGTAATCCTATTTTTATACTTCCCGCTCATTCCAACACTAACTTTCCAGCTCATGAACTATGCATATCCTAAATTTTAGCATGGAAGCAACACAATTCTTATATTCAAGGGGAATTTAATTAAGCATGGATCTTGTAATGTTAAAACTTTTGAGCTTATAACCCTTGTAAATCAGCAAACGCCGTGTTTCAATTGGATAAAAGGAGGCCAAAATCGTAATGCAGGTTACTACACATGTAAGAATCCAGTAATATGAGACAATCACACAAGTCCAGAATCCCATCAGTTCAGACTAAATTCTTACATGTTACTACTGCAAGCACCTAAACAGACTTGGATATAAAGTTCAAAACTGTCACAGAAGCAAAGACTTGGAGATATGATCTATTCTAAATCAACCCAACACGCACAATTGTATGAGTAGTAAATACAGTAAAAAGTGAAAAAGAATGTACTTGCGTTTTCCACACATGAATGAGAATCAGTCCTCCATCCAAGTCACGGCAAAGGTAGAATTTTACAACCATCAGCAACAAGGGTCTTGGATGAACTCAACGCCCACCTCATTCATATTGGAGTAGGAATGGCAAAATCATTTTCGTTTGTCTGTCAATGTCACCAATGACTTGAGCACCCCCGGACTGATCTTGTCAGCAAGGGCGCCTTTTTCTGAAATCAGAAGGGACTGGTCTTTTACATAACTCTGTAATTTCTTTGCCTCAAAGTCAAGTTTCGACTCATCTGCCATGTGAAAGGGATACAGACCAGAAACAATAATTCAACTGTCAAAATAAAGTGAAAGCTCGAAAATGAACGTTCCCAGAAGAAAATTATAGGCCGACTATTGTATTCTTTAGGGGGGGGGGGGGGGGGGG